ACAGTTGTTAAGTCTGGGGTGTTGTGTGGCAGGTGCTTGTCTGTTTGAATTCTAAAGTCCCAGAGCACTTTGGCTTCTTTGTTTTCTGTTACTTTGTCTGTTTTGCGGTCCCACCAGTTCTGGCTTGCAGGCAAATGGCATTTCTTGCAGATATTCCAGTGCACCATTATTGCTACTTTGTCATGCTGTTGTTTGTAGTCGGTCTGTGCAATCTTCTTGCAGCACCTAACTAGGTGGTCCACTGTCTCTTCAGCTTCTTTGCAGATCATCATCATCATCATCATCATCATCATCATCATCATCTCATATAGAATTTTGTGTGGTCAGAAGGATGATTCCCCTTTTTAACTGTTACTAACTTCAGTAAAGAGTAAACGTTCATCCTAAGATTTAGTGCTTAAAGTTCTTCACTTACAGTTATCTCAGTGCATTTCATTATATTCTTACAGGTGGAATGTGAGTCTAAAAACCACTGTTTCACTGTGTGTCAGAGGGAAATGGGAGTGGTACCCCAACATATCTGGAAGATGCTGGATTGTAGATAGTTTGAATGGGACTGGAAAAACGTGGATACAACTGTCAATCTGATTGTAAAGCTACAGCTTCAAATCTTGGCCAGTGAGTGTAAATAGGCCCCAGTTTTACCCCTACCAAGCATAACTCTAATTGGATTTACAAGCTTGCCATGTTGTACAGACCTAAAATTGTTCCCTGTTGAAAACTGAGCCTATACTTGAGATTACAGTGTTACAGTTTATGATGGTCCACAGTGATGACCATTTGGGTTCACACAACAGAGTAAGCTTGTAACCTCAATTAGAAACAGTATGTTTACTTATAAGCAGATAATACTATAAGCAGTATGGAGAAAGGAAAATGCTATCGCGCATGTACTTGCTACCAGATGTACACAGCCGAGTTGGTCAAGAAAACACAACTTAGTCCTTGGATAGTTTCTTTCAATCTAATCTATCTAATAAGGTTGCCCTGGGAAAAAAATGGGGTGGACCATCTGCTATGCTTTCTTTCTGAGAGCTAGTTTCCCATGATAACAGTGTTCAAAAACTGGAACTGGCAATCTCTTCTAAAGTGAGTGAATGTTATCTTTACTTGGTGTATGGCATGTTGGGGTATGAGGCATTAAGGCAGGGAAGGGTGAACTGAGAGGAGATCTCAGTTTGCATTTATTCAGTGTCTTAATTTGTGAGGCACAAGACAGTAGTTCTCCACTGGTGGGATTCAGAAGTAGCTCAGATGGAAAGGAGGCTTAAGTTCTTAAAACTTTAAGTCCGCAAAACTTATCTCGTCTATATATATATATATGAGAATGCAGCACCTGTAAGCATAGACGTGCCTTTCTTGTGAAGGCAGCTTTTTCATTTCTATCATGGTAGGACCCAGGTTTTTTGACAAAGTGATTGATGGGACATAAGAGGCAAAAGCTGAGAACTGCCTATGTAAGAAGTAGGTAATCAGAACTTCTTGTTTGTATTTTTACCTTGATAATCATATTTTCCCTCTCCTCAGAATTAATAACTCTTTCAGCAGAGTTGTGTACCGTTTAGATCAGAAAAACAATGAAAAGGAAAAGGTGTGGGAGGGGGCCCCGTCCTTCAGCTTTCCTGCTCTGATCAAAGTCATGACTGTCTCCATGTAGAAGGTGGAAGAAAGGAAGGTATTGAATGTTTTTTGGCACTTAAACTGGGCTTCATTTCTTTCTTTGTCCCTAGATAAGATCTATCACTGACCAGTGAATTCAAACCTACATCTACAATCTCTAGTTTAGATGGATGTTAGGAATATGGTCTGATTTCCCAAAATACTTTTCTCCTTCTGTCTTCTTGTTCTGGGTTATTTAGGCTTCAGGTTGCATCCCAAATCAATGATTTTTTTAAAAATCCCAAAGTTGAACTCCTAGATCATTCATGATTGCTCCTCTCACCTACCTACCCATACCATTTTCTTCTGGAGTACAAAGTTTTCTGCTGATAATCAAGAACCCTTCCTACACAAGTACTACCTAGTTCACCACCACCACCAAGTTACAACAGTGGTGAGATATGTGTCATAGCAACACGTTATACACATAGCTCTTAAACCAAAAAGCCTTGGTTTATACATAAATATTTTATTGTTACTTAGATAACTAAAAAGTAAAAAAAAAGTACCAGACCACAAACGGCAGTTCACAGAAAGGAGGGTATGACTCACAGAGATCCATTTACTGTCACCTCTTACAGAAAATAAGCAGCATGAATGTCATTAGCAACCTGCTAGCTGTCATTCTCTTGTCAACAAAATCTCACTATTGCAATTGCACTCCAAAGTTTTGGGTTTTTTAAAGGAATACAGTGGCCTACTACAAATTCCTGGGTATCCTTTTTGGACTGCAACAGCATAAGAAAGTATAATCCCAGAGTGATAATTCTGAGCAGAACTTTGGGTGATAATTGGAAGTCAGGTCAATATAGGACTTTTCAGTGGGGTCATTTCAGGCATTCAGCTGTAGGACACAGCAGTTAGTGCCACATAGAGATATTGAATCAATGGTTATCGACCCTAGATGACAAATTTACTCTGTTCCTGAGTTTATGTGCCATGTTCACCCACCATCATGGGGTGAAAATCTATAACTAGATATACCTTAATGTGCACAATAGTGCAGAACCTCATAAACTTGTCTTAGGTACATGCTGTTAA